ATATTGAGCTCAGACTATGTGCCAGGTACTATATTTGAATATACTCTGTAGTTTCTAATTTCAAAGTTTTCCCTAACCTAAAGTACATACTGCATGTATGTTTGATGTAGGGGAAGAATTACAACGGAAGTTCAGGGGCCCTGGGTCCTCAAATTCATGGCAAAGTCACAATAGCAACCTGTCTGGGAATCAATTCTTTATTACTCCTAAAGTTTCTTTCAACCTAAAGAAAATTCCACAATGACCTTGAAACCATGTTATATAGTTTTCTCTCTCCAGCTGTTGGGACGTGTGCCAAGAAGGAAGAGTCTTTCGCTGAGTCTCACACATCCTGAATTATGTGGGAAGATCGATGCTTTCCTATTGCCAAACTGGTTGTGCTGGAAAAAAGAAAAATGCCTGGCTGAAGGTCAGGTGGGTGCGCAGCAAGGATGGCACGGGGCAGAGGAAGCGGTTCCCTCCCCTTCAGCTCACGCAGCAGAGATCCTTGGCGCCTTTTCGTTCCCGTTAGTACAGAAATCGGATCATTCAGACGGACTGAACCCTTCCAGCACAGCCCCTGCCATAGGAATGCTGGCCCTCCGGCCGCAGCAGAGGCCGCCGCCTCCTCAGCAGCTCCAGTGCACGCAGGGCCTTTTCTGAAGCTGTCCCACTTCATCATTATTACAAACTGCCTTTTCATCTTGGGAAGTGGTCTCAGCTTAAGCCCCGGAACCACAATGAAGGCACCCGATTCTTCTCCAGCGGCGGGCGCTACATGCTGCATGGGCATCCACCCGCCTCCAGCTCGCCGCTCTCCATAAACCGAGACTCATCCCTCAGCCACGCCTGACCGGCCAGTCCTTTCTGTGATCTCCTTTGTTCTGCTAACACCACAAAAACCTACATAACTAGTTAGTATGTTTTCTCATGTTACTCAAGTTTTAAAGACGTGAAATTTATATAGTTACTTATAATCCATTAACCTACTAATATGCAGTAAATATGGGATAACGTGATTGAGCTTTGCTTTTCAACCCATTCCCCAAAGTCCAAGTGTAAATCACAGGGGAAATACTTTAATGTTTCTAAAACCTGTAGAGAAACATTCACGTCATCATGAGGGACACGTGCTGGTTAGAGACACTCTGTGCTCCAGAGCAGCTCTCCACGCAGTGCAAGGAGGTAGTTGGAGGGGTGCGTGCACTTCTCTTCATATAAAAATACACAAGCAGAAACCCTTAAAATAATATATAATTCAAAGTTAAGGTTTAAAGTTTTCTGAATTATACATGTCAACGTTTACAAAGGTGTCCCCCACCCCCATTAGTCTAATTGTGTACACTTTGATTGCAAAAAAACTGAATGAAAAAATCAAGAGTCAACAAAATTCACAAGCCAGAAGCAGTTTAGTGCTCACAAGTTTATATTTTTAGGTTTGATAAAGATTCTTGTGTATTTTCTAAATACACGGACAAACAGTCTTGGAAGTTTACATACATGTCTTAGGACACTTATACTAGGTAGGTAAGTTACATTTAAAAATTGGTCTTCGAAAAAAATCTTCCCAAAGAGCTTTTACAAACAGCAGGCAGAGAAAGTGTTCTTTCTATGTTTACAGTGTTAAATGCTGATTCTCCCATTTCATAATGGCCTCAACCACCCCTCCCCAACCCAAAACGGTGTTTCCAGTAGCCAGTGTGCTCCATCCACAGCTAAGTCCCCAGGGTCCCACGCAGGGATGCCCGTAGCTTCTCCCCACCAGCCTGGCTGCCTAGAGCTGCCCCTGCCGGGAGGCAGGGCCACAGCAGGAGCAAAGCTTCCCTTCTCACCGGAAAGGGACTCAGAGATGCCTGGACCATGTTTAAGTTTAAGGATCTGGGTGACTGAACGGCACTAGACCTGGGGTTCATGTTTCTTTCTTCATTTAAAAATGAAATGCCGCACGGAGGCTGGGTGCCTGGTTTGTAGGCAGGTGGTGCAGCGATGGCTGCACAGGAGGGAGGAAGGGAGGATGTGCACCTGGGGACAGCGGAGAGAAAGGCGTAGACGCTAGATTCCTAACAGCTGTTCTAAGGGAAATGTGTCTCCACAGGGGACTCCTTAAAAGGGTGAACTTCTACAAAAGCTGTTGCATGAGGCCCAGTGGAGCCTCCAGAAGGGCCGGGCTCAGAGGCAGCGGTGGGAGCAGCTCGGCCTGGCCCTGGCCCTGGCCCTGCGGCTGCTACGTGAGCAGGCAGCCGCTGGGAGCCTTTCCTGTCTATAAAATGGAGACAATAGCACCTACCTTAGAGAGAACAGATCAAATAAAGCGCAACGGCACGTGTAGGCACTAAAAAATGGTAGCTTTTGGAATCATTATTCAGAAAAATAAACTCTTCATTCTATGTTGACAAAGTCCTAAAAATATAAGTAAAGCTTATCAAAGTTTTAAAATTTGTGATTTTAAAAACCCAACTCATCATACTTTCTCCACGATTACACTGCTCCAGTTCTTTTCAGGCCTTTGACACTGTTGTAGTGATAGAGTTTCTCTCTTCCCCCTTCCTCGTTCCTTCTTTTCCTCTTGGTTCCCGTCTATTACTGAACAACTGCCAGTGTTCTAAGCATTTGACAAGAGTCTACGCATCACCTCATTCTCCTCATCAGGATGGCTCTACCCAAACCAGTGAATGTTTTCCCCCAAATTTCAAAGCTACTCATGACTGTTCAGTTTCCCTTCCTGTAACATCTCTTCTTTTTTCAGCTTAGTTGCTGTGGTACTAAAATTTAGCAAAACATCTAGTGACTATGAAAAATGAGGGCCAAACTCTGAATGACAGTGTAGGGACCATGTAGCGGTGACTGTCAGAAGCCTAAGAAACAGTGTATGACCTTGATTTATCTGAGAGGGTCTGTACTACAGTGAACAGCAAAGAGGCAGTTCTTGCTCTTCCCCTTCATTAAAATTAAAAGCTCTGAAATATTTTTAAGTTATGAGAGAAAAATTCAGCAAATGTGTTACACACAATTCTGCCAGGGCCCCACAGATCAAACTATGGGTATTTCGTGTTACCTGGGAGACCAACCCTAAGTTCTTAGCATCTCAACTTCCTGAATTTGTACTGTAAGTCAGAAAAAGAACATACTTAAAAAAATAGAAACATCCAGTAGTATACCTTAGTACTAAAACTAGTTTTTAAAAATGATCTAGAAGGGTAAAGGCAGTCCCTCAAGATCATGGAACAAAATAAATTAGGGAGTCAGCAAGTAGAAAAGTTTGTCAGTTCTGTTTCTTGTGAAACGCTTATTTAAAGAAGAAACTTTTATATAGGCTGAGGCTAATATATTCAAGAGTATAAACATTTTTCCTTTGGATTGCCTTTCTAAAAACAATATGGTAAAGTAAATATAGTCCGATCTGTCATAACACAACATAAAAGGTAATGGACAATCATAGAATATCTTAAATTAACAGTAACAAGCCATCTACATCAAACCTTGCTTCCAACTAAACCAAGCAAAAGCACAACAATCCTGTAGTGTACCACATGTGTATTTCAATTTGCTGTATGCAATCTAACAGAAATTTGGTCATAATTTACCAGATATACATAAATGATTTAAGTAGTAAAGAAAATTCAACTTAAAGAGAATAAGTTCATACCTTGGGAAAAGTAAAAAGTACATTAGAGTGTAAAGCCCAGTCCAGTTTCTATGCAATAAGTGACCTGCAGTCTAATAAAGCAGATTTAGCAACTTTCAGATATATATCTTTTCTCTTTAATATATATTTATATATAGACAGATCTACCGATTGTAAACTATGGTTTATTTTAAAGGAGGGGGATAAATGGGATGAAAGAAATCTTTATACTATACTTACATATTCACAATGCAGAACATTTTATGCTTAAAATACTTTTTCATTCATAGTATCTTTACCCAACTAACGTCTACTTTGGACCCCACCAGAACTACATTTTACTCATTTACCTAGAACACTGAGAATAAGATGTACTCTTCAGTCTTAAAAATCAAACCAAAACTATTCGTGTCAGTTTTACAGTTATGTAGAAACTATAATAAAGTTTAGATAATGAAAGATGCATCTGACCATGTAACTGTACTTTATATCTTTGATTTATCTGGGCAGAAACATTGATGTCTAACATTTAAGCATCATTTTACTGAAATCAAAGATAATGAGAAAGCGTCTCTTAGAAAAGTATCAATGTTTCACCCTTGATCAAATGGAGCACCACACAGCAGGAAAATATGCTCAATCTCTATTTAAAAGAAAGCTGAAAGTTTGATATCCCTCACTTGATATAATATACAATATGTTCCTGATAATGTAAACTGTGAGTAACCTTAACTCCTCTGGTAGCAAACATACATGTTAAAAGATCAATATTTTTTTTGGTAAAAGGGCACAAGAGTAAAAACCTGATAGTTCACTTATATTGCATAACAAGCTAACCAAACTGGACATGGAGGATAAATCATAAAACAAATCATTTTACTTATTGTTTCTATGACTCTTCTTTCGCTCAGATTTCTGTCTTTTCAAATAGGACTGAGGTATAGTACACTGGCAAAAATAAAAAAAGGCAAACAAGAATAGTGCCAAAGTAACAGATACAGCAAACTGAATACCATGTCAGAAAACATCATATAGAACCATTTTATCAGATTAGAGCAGCAAGAGGAAGTGACTTCTAAATCATAATCATTTAGTGGTATTTATCAACTTCGTCACGATAACTTTGCAACATCATTCTTCATTTGTGAAGTAGTAAAATTCATGTCAAAAAGGAAGGGGGAATGGAGGAAGTCAATTAGTTCATTCCAATAAATTACCTCTCCAGTTCTTATAAACATGCCCATCAGCACAAAATTGAGAAATAATACCTAAGACTAGAAGAGACTTGGTTTAACTTATGAAGCAAATCAAAAGGGAAAATACAGAAAAGTACAACCAATGGGGTTGAAAAGGCCCCTCACTGAAAATCTTTATTAAAAAAAATAAAATTAATAAAAATAGAAACAAAACTCTACTAGTACAAACTAGCCTGAGTGGTTTGGTGGACAGTGTAGTTGGGCCAGCTGTCACTGTAGTCTCATAACTGGATTTTCTTCATTCTGGTTAAACTGGTATGTAAACGTCAGTTATTTACAGACAGGTAATCCATTTTCATTAGGACCCAAAGAGTTACTGTATATCCTATCAATAAAAAACATTTTTACTTTGATAACTGACTGAAAATGTGGGGACTCCATGTAATCCAACTGCAAGGTTGGTTGCTGTCCAGTCCTGTGCAAATATAAAAAAATTTTGCTCTGAGGCTTTGACCCTACAGTTTTCACAGCAACTTAACTACCATCCAGCATGTACCATATTTGCAAGCCTTCAAGTTCAACAATTCAAATTGTCGCTTCATATTACGTCCCAATGCAGCATCCTTGAGGAGCAGAGTAGGCCAGTTAGTCATCCTGAGACATACAGACGTCTCCCAACTCGTCCCAGCGTGACGGGGGGTTCTGATCTTCTCCCTCGTCAGCCAGCTCTTCTTCGGCTTCTCCCCCTTCGTTCTCCTCGTACTCTTCATCCCGAGGGAAATCTGTCTCCTGTCCCTGATCTACACCTTCTTGCCTTCCTGGCCGCGGTTTATCTGCACATTCTACACAAATACCATAGCGTCGAGATCCATGTCTGATTCCAACACTGGCAGCTAATATGAAGATCTTCTTACACACCATACATTTGTATTTTTTATCCTTTTTATGCACCTAATTGAAGGGGGGAAAAATCCAATAAGGACGGTATAAACAACTGAATGCATTTGAACCACCAAATCACCAGCTGAACCGTGAGTGAATATACCAGTTTTGCTGTATGAGGCTCAGTATCAGACCATAAGTCATGCTCTTTGTTTAAAGCTATTAATAATCAGCCTTCCTTAAAACTGCAGTAACAGTGCTAATATGCCTTAAACTTTACTGACATAAACATTGTTTAGCTCAAAGATCAGTTATATTTAAAGTTACTTACCAGGGAATGTCTTTTTACATGCTCTCTTCGAGTAAACAGTTTTCCACAAATATCACAGCTAAAGGATCTGACTCCCGTATGAATGAGCAAATGCCTTTTTAGTGTTCGTCTGTATTTGGCTACATAGGTACAATGAGGGCATTTTAACTTGTTCATGTTTAGAGATGATTCACCTTTGAGAATAAAAAAAACACAGAAAAGCACTTATATATAAAACAGAAAACTTGCTCTCAAAAGCTTACCTATCCCTGAGAACAGGGACAATTACAGGGCTACTACTGTCTTGATTGAAAAAGAACCCAAAACACTACAACTCAGAATAATTCTGTAGATGTTTAGTTGACTAATACTTGCCATTTTCCCAAGTTTCTTGTTTTGGCCAAGATTCAGGCAACAATCCATACTTGAAATCGTTTGCAGCACCTGGTAGCAATCCATACTTGAAATCGTTTGAAGTACCTGGTAGTAATCCATACTTGAAATCACTTGATGGGCCAGGCATCAGGCCATACTTGAAATCATGTGAAGTACCTAATACAATTGAAAAGTGATTTCGATGTAATAATGGTAATAAAGATATGTCTTTTGCTGGAATAAAAACACACAATAAATGAGCATTACGATAGAAGAGCTTAATTTAAAATAGCTAAATAAAAAACCTCTACATTTTAATCTAAAACTGACATGTTTTCATACTTTATTACCTAATTATAATATCCTAATTGGCAGGCATCTTAAACAGAAAACAAACTAAAGTTTAAAATACAATTCAAACATGGGGGAAAATTTAGTGAAATAAATCTAAATACTATTTAGTGGTGTGTGGAGGCCACAATACTGTCTTTCAAACATATTCAACACAGAACCCTGTCTTAAAATAGTTGCTCTTCCTAATTATTCTGTAACTCAAGACTGCCAGCCCAAAGCCGAGCTGTGGAACTAGATGGTCTCCTTCTGTCCCCAAACAATCACATAGTCTTGTTTTAAGACTAATTGGTTTAGAAAAATGGACAAAGGATGAAAAATATAAACAGGTAAACTATAAGTATTAAGTTCTTGTATTATCAGACCCTTGTCTGTGGTCATAGACACACTGGGCAAGGTAACGGAATGCCTGTGGGGGCTTCACCAAAACCTCTTTCTAAACCCATCCTTGAAGAAATGGAAACCAAGAGGGTAGAATCAGAACAAAATAGTCAAAGTCCCGTGGATTTTCAGAAGAGCTAAACTAGGAATTCTCTCCTCCGGACCTGGTCCCATGTTGACTATTCCTTGTACTGGGAATCCTTGGGCAATGTGAATCCAGAATCCTCAGGGCTACTGCCACCCAGATCCAATCCACCATCAGCTCTAGCCTCTGGATGATGTTCAGTAGCCATCAGCTTATCTGCCTTCCTACAGTGTAGTTCAACACAACAATCAGGTTCTTTTTAACACATTGCGTACCGCACAGAAATCTCTAAGACATACGCCAGGGACCGCACGTTTTGGGCAAACTGCATGTTATTTAAATCATCATAATGCACTTTAGGTGTTGTTTTTCAATAATTATAACATTTTTCTTTACAAAAACCAACAATTAAAGTTCCTAGTACTTTTTTAACATATGGTACTGCGTAAAACATTTTCCTCTATGAAGAGGGACCAAACAAAATTTACCTAATATCTAGATTCGCTATTTCCATGGGCGTGAAAAACGAGAACACTCATGAGCGGTCCTTAACAGATGGTGCGCGAAACACGAGAAAACTTCCGAGCGGTACGAAATGTGTTAAAACTTTCAGTCAGAGCCTGGCACTCTGCTCAAAAGCCCACAAGGACTATCCATCGCTCTCAGAGTAGAAGCCAAGGACTCCCCGTCTCCTACCAAGCAGTGCCTGACGAGCCCTTGCTTCCAACTGCCCTCCTGGCCGCTCTGCTCCAAGCAGACTCCCCGGTGCTGTCCTCTGTGGTGAGATGGTCCTACCTTCAAAGTCTCTGCCTGGGACTCCCCCTTCCAGGCTGTGCACAGCTCACTCGTGCAACAACTGATTAAGTTTACTCCCATGTATACCATGGATATAATAAGGGAAAGCTTGTCAAAAAATGGGTTTTCTAAGAATTTGTTTCCCAGCCCTAGCTGGTTGACTCAGCAGAGTGTTGGCCTGCAGACGGAAAGGTCACAGGTTTGATTCTGGGCAAGGGCATGTACCTGGGTTGCAGGCCCTGGCCCCAGTTAGTCAGGGAGCATGTGGGAGGTAACCAATTGATGTCTCTCTCTCACAACGATATCTCCCTCCCCCTCTCTAAAAATCAACAAAATATCTCCAATGAGGATTAATAAAAAAATAAAAATTCATTTTCCTATACTGCATCTATTTGCAGATACATTAATTTTCTTAAAAATTAAAATAACTGCCCTAGCTGGAGTTAAATTTGGGACCTTTCAGTCAGCAGGCCGATCCTCTATCCACTGAGCCAAACCAGGTAGGGGGCGAGCAGGAGGCAGCCAATCAGTGATTCTCTTTCATCACTGATGTTTCTATCTCTCTCTCCCTCTCCTTTCCTATCCCCCTCTCCTCTTCTCCTCCCTTCCTCTCTGAAATCAATCAAAATATATTTTTAAAAAATTTGTTTAAGAACTTAAGACATCTTTTTTGGTGAAAGTATCAATACCCAACAGTGCACAAAGGCCTCTTGGGGATTTAAAAATCGCATTTCATTGCTAACAATGTAAATTGTTTTGTGCTTAGAAAGCCACCCATTTTGTTAAACGTTAGGAAAGCCCTCTCAAAAACAAAAAACAAAGGAATAAAAGAAGAAGGAAATCTCGAATCCATAATTATATAATTTAAATATAATGTATTGCTGTTTGGGGGAAAGTTTTCAGAATCCTAGTGAGGCACCTTGTCTGTGTGTGCGATCACCTTCACATTCCTAAAGTTTGAGCTCTGTGACTCACAGTTCTTATCCAAATCAATGCCTGTCTTGCCTTTGTATTTTTTTAAAATATATTTTACTGATTTTTTTTTTTTTTACAGATAGGAAAGGAGAGGGAGAGTCAGAAACATCAATGAGAGAGAAACATCGATCAGCTGCCTCCTGCACACCCCCTACCGGGGATGTGCCCACAACCAAGGTACATGCCCTTGACCAGAATCGAACCTGGGACCCTTCAGT